TACTTCGCCAACTCAGGATTTCTACTATGCAGGTCCCCTGCTCGTATATCATTATATGCATATATCATCTTGTGATTAACTGCTGCCACACAATGTTTTTTTCTATCAAGATTTATTCGTGTGCATATATCATCCTGTGATTAACTGCTGCCACACTACTAATGTCTGATTGACTTGATGCAACTTAACTTACAGGGTTACAACTCCAGAAACGAACAGAGTTTACCATAAGTTAGGTACAAAGTTCTGAGTAATTATTCAAATTCGTCAACAGTGGGATTTGAACTCCAAACCTCTTGCATGGCGGTCTGGCAGTGAGTTTCTTATTAAAATTTTTTTTTTAGTAATATTGCTAAAAACTTTTTCTTCATTAAAGTCAATAGATTAGATTTCTTTTCCAAATACTGTATTCTCATTCAAAACAAATTATTACTTGATATTTTATTCACTAAATCAAAAATCATTTCATTAATAGTTAGAACAACTTTACTCAATATTATATAGGTATTTTCTAAGAACTTCTGTGTTGCCTCTTCGAATAGTATTAACAAATTAATAAGTTGGTTCATTAGTTCTTACTTATTATCTGAAAGAAGAACTTTCTTAATTTATTACCATCTTTTTTAATATTCTGATTTACTGATGTATATAAGTTAGTTTGAAGTTGATAATAGCATCTTTTAAAAAAAAAAACGATCCCAAGTATAATACATCAAGTTCTATCATATAGTAATATCTTGAATACAATGAACAGTATCTGCATAACCAAGCTTTATTTGCACTTCTTCTAACTATTCTGTTTGCTTTTGATATTGAAAAAATTAAATTAACCTCCTTGCATGTATAACTAGAACTTCTGCTAGTATTAGTCCCTTTCCAATCACTAATTGAAGAGTATGAGCTATACATGAGAGACGTTTAATTCTTCTACATCTGTCTTTTTAGTTTAATAAGAAAAAAGCTAAGACCATGTTCTTACTATTATTAGTAGTGATTAATATTATATGATACTCACGATTCCAAGCTTTAATACATTTATGAAGCTCATCCACAATGACTTGACCACTATATGAAGAGGAAACATATTTATTTTCTAATATTACATCTTTAATTTTGAAATTTAGTATAATCTAAGTTGTAGTAACTCTTAGATACCTATGTTTAGTTTAACCAAAAATCTATTGTAAGAGAAACGTTTTCTGCAGTTTGAGTAAGAATATTTAATAAATTTTCATGATTATATTTATAACTTTTGAAAATCATGTATCTAATTTTTTTTCTCCTGGGATAATAAAAGAAAGGTCAAATTCTGCTATTTTTTCCCTATAAGCTTTATTCGTAACTATTGAGAGAGGTAATTTAAAAGTAACATCTATTTTAGAAGTACTTCTTCATATTGTTTTTGAATGTAGGGAGGATAAGAATGAACTTTTTGTACAAAATCAGTAATTTTGAAATTTTGTAGCTAAATTAATAGCATTTACAAAACTTTTAAATAAATATCTTGATATAAAGAAAGTTAAGCTAAACTAGTTTATACTAAATCCACTCAATATAAGAAGTTATTAATAAACTTTTATATAAGAAAGGTTTGTAAAATTTTTATTATAGATTCAATCATTTCTTATACCAAGATTTATATGCACCTTATTTTATTCACAATACCTTTTTTATATTTTTGTCATCTAAGATCTCATAGCTATCTCTAAGGTATGTAATAAGGTTTCTTGTTGAACTTTCTATATTTTTATATTCTGTGCCATATTTTTTGTCATCTTCATCTATGACTTTACAAACTCATACTTCTTCACCATTTTTATTAACTATCATTTTAAAGTATTTATGAGTAAATGATGGCTCTTTATATTTATACTTCTTTTTAGGTTTTTGGGCTAAAACAAAAATATACTAATAAATTATTATTTATTTTAAAAATCTTTAATTTTATTACTATTAGTATTAATACCTTTTTCTTTAACTTTTAAAGATGTTGTAGAAAGATAGGGCATGAGCTGAATACTAGACTTATTAGTTTCTAGTAAACAAGAAGTTTCAGATAAAACTACTGAATTTTCCACAGCTTCTATGTTAAAATCATTATCATAATAATATTCAGAGTCATCTTCTATCATTTTATAGTAATATTCAAAATAATTTTATATTTTATTTAAAATTTGTATTATGACTTATATCTAATATTTGTAGAGATTCTATTTATTAAGCTACTGCATAGCAAAATCTAGTATGTTTGATTTTTAAGATTTATCATCTTTTATAATTTTATTCCTTCAATAGTATTTTACAAATCAGTTATTTCACATATATGCCTATTCCTATATTTTCTTTAACATACTCTAGGAAACCAAAAATTAGACTAATTCTACCAAATATATATTTAACCTTAGCATAACTACTCAGTTCTTTTTTTAAAACAATGATATTTAAAATTATAATATTTTTTAAATATTATAGCCAGTGAAGAAAATTAAAAACTTGGATTAATTAAAATAATTTGATATATTTTATTATTTAAAGGTTTTAAAAACTGCTGATATCAGCTAAGAATTATAATATTAGATGAAATCACAAGGTTAGTAGTAATTTTAATGATTTTTATAGCTATATATTTACTTTATTAGTGAATTTTTCATTAACAGTATGAATAAATTCAATATCTGAGTATACATGCAATCTTTTTAGAACTTTAGAACAGCTTGCTATCAACCTAAAACCTTTAAATTATATAAATTGAGCTTTTTTCTATTCCAAAATTATTTACTTTTGTTAAACCCTATTTGAGATTATAATAATTCTTATTCAGAGTCTGTAACCTAATTCATATATTTTAGAAGCAAATAAAAAAAAAATAATATGAATTAATGAAGTATGCGATATTTATTTGCTTTGTAACTTTGTTCTTTGAAAATTAACTTTGATTTATGCAAAATTTGCATCATATATAATTTTGATTTATATAAATCAAACATGGCATAATACTGTATCTGTTAAATCATTTTTTTATTTATTTTTTATTTTGAAAAAAAAATTAATTTATATGTATAATTTTGATTTTTAAAAGTATATAGTCAAGTCATATTAAATACAAGCATTTAAGAATTTTTAGCAATTTGGTGACTGACAGTTAATTTAATTGGTTCATATTTTAGATGAAAAAAAGCTACTAAAGATAAATTTAATCAGTAAACTTTGATCAGCACTGTCTTTATTTCATAAAAGGTGATAATATATAATGATAAAGTTTGAATTATATATATTGTATTTAGAATTAATCTGGATTTAGAATTCTCAAGTAAGTTGCCAACTTGAAAATAAAAATGTAGTATTGAATAAGATGACTTGCTTGCAAATTTTTAAACATATACTGTTATCAATTTATCATGCTTTATAACTAGTATTGCTAATTTAAAAAACCTTTGAATATTCTAAAAGCAAACCTATCTTTGAAAAATTCGAATAATAGAGTTTAGTAAAGCTATAATCTAAAGTCAAAGTCTGGTTTTCTCTTTATGCTACTCATATATATTTAGAATAAGGATCTATATAATCCTTATCCTTAATCCAATATTTATTAAAGATTTATCTATAAAAATAAACGAATTAGAATATCCGTATTTAATTTGAATTATCAGATCAATTCAAATTGTCAGATTATAGATTGAAACACTACTTTTAATAGTCATATCAGCTAACGCTTGATTCAAAAAGAAACTGTTTCAAAAGATATAGATTAGAATAGATGTGAGTAAGTTGGTATCTATGATAAAGATCAGCAACACCAACTTGCCTTAGCAGCTAACTGAATTTAGGAGGATCTACTTTGTAAAACATCTAGAGAAATCAATTAACACAAAACTAGTAAAGAGCTACAGTAGAAACTCGAGTTGTTTGAATATCTATAAGAGTCTAAGCTAGGTGAGTTTGTGAAATAGACATGAGCTACTCTAATAGGTTTGCTTCAAGATTAACTGGAGCTCTGCAAAACTTACAATATATTAAGTACAAGCATCCTAAGAAGACCTAAACTGAAGTTGATAAATAGATCTGCAACGAACTAGCTAGCTTAAGTAGTTAGATATTATAGTGACATTAGTTTGTAATAGTACGAGTTAGTAAACAGAATATTTAAATAGATAACTCACAAGTGAGTTACAGATATAACAGTATAGTGTAGTACTGTCATGCCTATAATTTTCTATTTCTTTATTTTTCTTTTATTTTATTTTTAGTTTTATTATTTGATTTAGT